TGAGACAGGGTTTCCCTGTAGCCCCAGCTGGCCTGGAACTCACTAAGTAGACCAGGCTGACCTTGAACTCACAGAGATCCGAGGCCTCTGCCTCCAGAATGCTGGGACTAAAGGTGTGCGCCACCATGCCTGGCTGAGCTTTAACTTTTTATGCAGTCCTTGACCTTGAATTCTTGATCTTCCTGCCTTCATTTCCCAAGTGCTGGGATTACTGCCAGGTGCAAGCAACACTGCCTGGCTTTAGTCTTCATTTTAAAAGCTAGCATTTATGGGGCTGGAGAGATGGCTCAGAGGTTAAGAACACTGACTGCTCTCGCAGAGGACCTGGGTTCGATTCCCAGCACCCACATGATGACTAGGAACTGTCCTTAACTCCAGTTATAGGGGACTCCAAAATCCTCTTCTGACCTCCGCAGCATTGCACGGCACGGGTGCACTCACATACATGCAGGCAATACACTCATACACATAAAATAAAAATAATAAACAAAATATTACAGAAAAAAAGCTGGCATTTAGGGGCAGGCAAGATGGCTAAGTGGGTAAAGGTGCTTGCTGCCAAGCCTGATAACCTGAGTTTGAGTCCCAGTCCCCACATGGTGGAAAGAGAGAATCAACTCCTGCAAGTTGTCTTCCTACCTCCACAGGTGCACTTATACAAACACACACACACACACACACACAATGTAAAAAAAAAAAGCTGGCATTTTAATCTGATTTAACTATCTCCTTGTCCTTATTTCTCAATTGAATATAAACTTCAGAATAGAGAAAAATAATTACTTAAAAGTTCTCTAAACCAGCCAGGCGTGGTGGCACATGCCTTTAATCCCAACACTCAGAGGCAGAGTCAGGCGGATCTCTGTGAGTTCAAGGCCAGCCTGGTCTACATAGTGAGTTCCAGGACAGCTGGGGCTATAGGGAGACCCTGTCTCAAAAAAAAAAAAAAAAAAAAAAAAAAAAGTTCTCTAAACCTAAATATTTCTAAGGTAGGCTAGGCATTCTTAAACTCTTTTATGTTTTTTGTTTTTGTTTTGGTTTTTTTTGGTCGTTTTGAGACAGGGTCTCCCTGTAGCCCCAGCTATCCTGGAACTCACTATGTGGACTGGGCTGGCCTTGAACTCACAGAGAGCCACCTGCCTCTGCTGGGATTAAAGACGTACGCCACCATGCGCAGCTCTTTTATGCTTTTTAATTCTTCAAAGAAACATATAATATAGATATAAAGATATAATATAATGTAGATACAAAGGCCAACTAAAAGCCCATTTATTTTACTCACCCTGAGCTTTTAGTGGCATGACCTATACCTGCTGTAACAAAAAACGAACCACAAGGGAATATGGCTGTTGATAAACATCTTTCAATAGAGGGTCTACCGGGGGCTGTGTGGAATGGTCTTGGGGTGAAGATGTTGCTTCTTTGGGGCCCTCCTGAGCACTCTGGAATCCATGTTCCCACTGACTCCATCTGTGGGTCTGTCTCCATCATCATGTCCTCCAGGGTGGAGCCTGGACATTTATACATGGCATGTGGATGAAGAGGCACATAGTCAAATGGAGACAAGGTCCCAGTCTTGAGGAGAAACTACTGAAGCAGAGGGCAAGAGAGCATCTTTTCTCCCTGGCAATGGCCACTCTTGGCATGGAGTTCTCCTTTGCCAGCCACCCTCCACCCAGTGCAGAGCTGCTGAGAGCTCTGCAAAGGGCCTCTTGTTGTCACTCTGTAGGATGCCTCCATGGGACGGTCCTGACTATGTGCCAGTTGTAAAGTAGATGGGTTAATAGTCCTCACCTTCACTGGCCAGCTACCTGAGCTTTATGTTTGCTCTGTTTCACTTTATTATTTATTTTTAAGATAGGTCTCACTATGTTTCCCAGATTGGTCTCAAATTTGTGATCCTCTGGACTCAGCCTCCCAAGGACTAAGATTACAGGCATGTATTACCAAGCCTGGCTCTAGCCAAGTGTTCTTAAAGAATAAAATCCACAGAAACGCAGGCCCAGGGTGAGAATGTTCATAAGGTTAGCATGCATGATCTGGCTGGATAGATTATTTCCAGCAGCTGAAGTTTGAGCCTGATGGTCCTGACTGTCCATGCTGGTGGCCCAGACCTACACCGGTGCTTTCAGGTCTTTGAGTGCCAATTCTTGGTCCATAAAACAAGGCCAATGAGCCCTTCCTTAAAGGGCAATGGCAGAGATCATATAAAATATTGTGAGGTCTTTTTTTTTTTTTTTTAAACACCACTGGGGCTATATGAGTATCTCTGATGAGCCACAGATGAACACTTAAAATTTAGAATAGTATGTCAAACCTATGACTTTACTGATCCCTTAACATGAGGCTGAAGCTGGTATGCACATCAGGTTAAACTGTTTAGAATACAAACAAACAAACAAGCAAACAAACAAAAAAACCACAGAAGACTGTAGCGAACATTTAAAACTGGAACTCACAGGCCTGTTGTTTAGGAAGAAGAATCTCTACAACTCAAGCTGGCCAGCAGTAGGAGCTCTACCTGCAGTGGCTCATGGCCCATCAAAGCAGGCCCCAGGGAAGGACTGAGGACAACCTACCAAGGGACAGAGCTGGAAAGGGTTAAAAGAAAGGGGTCTGCAGTTTCTCTGGCCCAACCTCCTCCACCCCCACAGCTAATCTGTCACCTAATGAAGAAGGGGCCCGGCACAAGTGAGCTAGCTGGCAGTTCACTTACAGCAAACTGATTAAGAATGTTCAACCAACAGCAGACTGCAGACCTTTCCAGAGAAAATAAATAGAGTGTAGACTGTATGCAAATGTGTTTGTCACTTTGACAGCACGTCTCAATTAAGGCATCTCGCGGTTGTGGGTAGGCTCTGTGGCTGCAGCTGGAAGGGAGAGCCCGCTGCATGGCTGATACTAGGGGCTTGACCTTAATCCACATGCATGCATTAAAAAAAATGCCTGCCTTCCTGTACACTTGCATAATGCTGGCAGCCACGTGAGGGAAGTGACAAACGGGGGGAAAAAGCCACTTTCATCCTCTCCAGTTTGCAGACCTGTGAAGGCACAGACAGCTCTTATTTCAACAGAGTTTGGGGTGGCTTTTTTAATTGTTTATCCCCCACCCGTGTGCATACACACGCTCTTATTCTGCATTTAGCTGGGAATGGCATTAAAGCATCTCTCCATTTCTTGCTGAAATGGAAAGAAGGTCTTTCTCCATTTCAAATAGGGCCTCTTTTTTTGTGTGTTTTGAAAATGCAATGTTTAACACCATGAAATCCCTCCCCCGCCCCCTCTTTCTCTGTAATGGGCTCCCAACTCCAGCGAGGGGCTCCTTTCATGGGCAGGTTCACATGTGCAGGAATGAGGACAAAGGGAAGCAGGAAGCTGACTTGGAACATCATGCTGGCTACAACCAGGGCAGTGCTTTCAGCAAACACGGCCAGGAGCTGGGGTGAGGGCTGCTCCAGCCGAGGAGCAGCTTTTTAGGGGTGTGGACACCAGTGTGATTTGAAGAGCATCGTTAACCAGATGAGCACTGCTCCATTCCTGCTTCTGCCTTACACTACATATTGGCTTCCATAACATCCCTTTTAAGTGTAAAATCAGAAAAAGGGAGAATTTCCCCTATTAAAGATGTACGAAGCATTATCTGAAAGGACTGATTAGAGAATGATTCTTCTATTCCAACCAGCTTATGCTTTACAATAATAACCCACACAACAATTTTGTTAGCTCTTTTTCTTATTTTACATTTTTATTTAATTTTGTTTGCATGTGTGTATGACTGTGTGGGGGGTGTGCATGTGCTGTGGCACATATAGGGAGGTCAAAGGACAGTTTGGGGGCAGGGGTCAGTTCTTTCCTTCCACCATGTAGGTCCTGGGGATTGAACTCGGGTTGTCAAGCTTAGAAATCTCCTTTGCCTGCAGAGCCATCTTGCCAGCTTGATTCTTTTTACTTTTAAATAGCTCCATGTTCAATACATACTAGGCACTTGGTAAACAGCTCTCAAAACAAAGGTTTTAAATACAGGATTCTAAGTCCTTTTGTGGTAAAATAGTGATCCCATTTAATGTAAAAGTCATAAAGGCTAGTTTAATCATGCCTCATCTACTAAATGGTTAAAGAATCCGGTGATTTAAGCACAGTGGAAGAGTGCTTTTCTAGCAAACATTAAGTCCTTGTTTAGATCTCCAGCAACAGAAACAAGAATAAAAACTTTACAAATTCTTGTTATAACCATACCTTGCTAATAGACTCATGTCTTATTAAGCAGACCAAGCCAAACCAAACCAAACCAAACCACACACACACACACACACACACACACACACACACATTTACAATGATAATCAGAGCAGTTGACTGAAGAGAAGTAGGGAAGAATACATAATCTTTAAAAATATAACTAGAGGTAGGAAATAGATACAAATTTTAATTTCTATACAGAGTACAATGTATTACTTGGTTGGGGATAGTAAATCAAATGAATAGACAATTTCTCAAACGTTCAGGCTCTTGCAAGCAGTTGGGTAGTCGGATCTCTAGAACCACAATGAGGGTATTTACTCTGAGAAGCAAGACTGCCAATATTGATTTTCAGGAAGTACATTAATAAAGAACTCCTAATTGATTTTTCTTAAGACTTCGCTTGTTACCTTTTATTTGAAGGTGCGAAGAAGGGCCTGGGATGCTAAAGTGTTCTGATGAGATGCTTAGCTAACAGGAACCTTAAACGCAGTGCCCGGGAGTGGGGGAGGCAGCATCTACATTTAATGACTTCATGTTGTGGTGGCACTAGTGATGACCCACCCCATTCTGTCACCACTGAGATTACAGAAAATTCACCGTCAAAGCATGCTTATGCCAAATAAACTTTTGATGATGTGAAAACCATGGAGTTGCTTTGCCAAAGGAGAGCTGGATGCAAAACCCACTGGCAGCATGTGCTATAGATTCTGCTTCAAACGAAAACATTGGACAGCCCTGTAAGAGGCCAGGGTACCTACCTGCCCGAAGTGGACTGTGATTGGTCTCCGGTCTTCTCTCAGTCGGGGGTCCTGGGTCTCCCCCAGTGGGGATGGCATGATCTTTGGCAGCGGTTCTTCTGCAGAGGGAGTGCAGCCATTCTCTGTGATGTCCTGCAGGGAGGAGGATGGTCTGTGGTGGGCACTGAGACCCTGGCCCTGGGCCCTGGACCCTCTTCTCATGGTCCCTCCCCATCCCCCCCCCCAGCCAAGAGGCCTGCTAAGGAACTCCCAAGCTATTTGAAGCCTGTACTTCTGGGAGAGGTAGACAAAACAGATGCTAACTTGGCCTTTTGACTTTGAAGTACCAGGAAACCCAAAATTGTTCACATTAAATTATAAACATAACATCATAATTAATAATGGTTAAAAAGTTATTTTCATCCTACATTCTTCCATGGCTATTTTCATTTTTACATATTCACTTTGTCTATATGCAGACATTTAAAAATTACTTGCAATCACAGCTCATGCATAATTTTATATCTTGTTTTCTCTCAATATAAGCATTACCATGGTGCTACATAGTCATTATAACAATAATAATTTTAATGGATGCATACTATTTCACTGAGCAGACAGCTAATGATTTAAATAAATCATTCCACTACTACTTGGTTTGTTTCCATTTTTTTTTCCTTTCTAAATACCAGTGATAAATATCATGGTCTTTTCTTTCTTTCTTTTTTTTTCTATTATCGCTTCTATGGCAATCCCTGGAATGAAACTCTGAGGTCAAAGATATAAACATTTTTAAAGCTTTTTATTCATTCTACCAAATTGCATTCTAATTTACACCAACTACTCGCAATAGATGCGTTATCAGTTGAGGTACTTGTTAGCCTTATCGTTTTAAAAATGTATCGCTAATTTAATAGGTGAAAAATCAGACCTCATTGTTGCTTTAATTTGCATTGCTTGGATTATTTGTGAGTGTGGACATGTTTTCACATCTGCTTACTACCCCGGGTTTTTCTTGATGGGAATGAGGAGACTCAATCCTAAATTAGGACTCCCTGATTTACAGCACATTCATGGAACTAAAGAAAAAAAAAATTTTTTTTTTTTTTTTTTTCCCACATATCCCAGGCTGACCTCAAACTTGCTATGTGATGATGTCCTTGAATTCTTAATCCTGCCTCTACCCCCAAGTGCTGGGAATATGGAAAAAGAGATGTGTGCCACTATGCCCACTTTATGGGATTCTTGGAATCAAATTAAGGACCTGGACATTCTGCAGGTCTGAATTAAAAAAAAATATTCTACCACTTAAAAATACTTTCCCATACCTATAAGAAACATTATCGAGCCAAGCTGTGCACCACCACGCCCGGCAAGAAATATTTTTAAATCTAGACTTTTGATCATTGGCCACTCTTTCTCAACTCAACAGTGAGAATCACAGGACATAGGGAAAGCAGTTACTTATTGAAAAATTATACATTAAGGAAGAAACAAATATAATACCTCTGTGCCTCAGTTTCCCTATGTGTAAAATGGGGATATGGAAGCTATGGGGGACTAAAGAAGAAGGCAATGTAATGAAAGTGCCTAGAACATTATTAGCTATTCAATAAACTATTGGAATGGAGTAGATACTGTACATATACATGCATGTGTATGTACACACACGTGTGGGTTTATATAGCTTTATACATTCAACTGCCTGCCTCCTGGTTTCCTTTCCTAAAGAATCAGCTGCCTGTGAGTGTGATCAGCCCCGAGGAGTCTCTTTGCTTGGTCAGGGAGGTAACTGACCTCTTGGCCTTACAGACAGGGCTTGGATCATGTAGCCCACATTGGATTGGTCAATCTCCACTAAGCTAAGGCTCAGTGATGAAAGGGGCTGCCGACAGCCAATTAGAAATGGTTGTTTGGAAAGGGGCTGCCCTAAGGTGATTAGGGCAAATGGAACAAAGCAGGGGAGAGACTCCTTCCGTGCCAGAGAGCAACACAAGGGCAAAAGGGGCATTTTGGATACAGGTGGGGGCACCTAGAGGATTAACACGAGGTGCATAAGGCCAAACAGTAACAAATTCACTTTGGTTCAAGAAAAATATTCATATTTATTTTCTCTGTGTGTATGCACATGTGTGTGTGTGTGTGTGTGTGTGTGTGTGTGTGTGTGTGTGTATGAAAAAATGGAGCTACAAGGTAACAAGGTAGGAAAATGCATTAAGAAACTATAAGAGGATAATTATTTTACAAAGAAAATGTGGTAGTTTTGGGGATGATGTCTTAGTTCAAGGTTTTAAGTAAAAAATGCTCTGTTCTAGGGACTGGAGCGAAGGCTCGGTGGTTAAGAACTTTTATTGTTCTCACAGAGGACCTGGGTTTGATTCCCGGCGCCTACATGGTGGTCAACAACCATCTGTAACTCCAATTCCAGGGAATCCAACGACCTCTTCTGGCCTTCATGGGCATTGCATTCATGTGGTACACTTATATACACACAGGCAAAACACTCATATGCATAAAATAAAATAAAATAAAAACATGCTGTGTTCTAGCTTTATTTGGCCATCAACTCACTGCCCAATCTTTTCAATTCATTCTGCAGTGGTTTTTCACAATGGGGAGATTCCCAGCTCTTGGCAAAGGTCCTGGGAGAATGGGTAAAATGAGATGAACTACCAGGAGGCTCTCATGATGTCCAGCACTGTGCACACCAAATGGTGCCTCTGGAGGGTGTTTTTCCAGTCTCTTGACCTTCATTCTCACACTTAGCTCCTATGGTGATCACAAGGTAAATAGGCGAGGAAATGGAGCTCAGAGAAGGGAACTTGCCCAAGGCCGCAGAGCTAGAAAGTGGAAGAGCCTAGAGTTCATGACCCCTGGCTTTTAAAACATATCAACTCTCAACAACAGCGCAAATGAAAGTCTGCTGGGGCAGGGGGTGCTTGCCATGCTGCACCATCAGAAGTGACCTCCTCTTCCTCCTCGGCACTCCCTCTTGCTAACCTGGTCACAGGCCACCATGCCCTATGCCACCCAGTTATGCAGCTCTCTAGACTCTGAGTTCCTTAGGGTCTGGCTTTGCCTGAATCTAGCACAGGCTCTCCAATAAAACTCTTTTAAGGTGAACTAAACATTTGGAAGGCAAATGTACCCGGGTGTTAAAAAAGCCACATTTTGTTTGGTCAAAACACCCAAAGATGAAAAGATTTGGATAGCCTCATCATTATCACCCTGCAAGTGTTTCACTTCTTCACTGTTTTCTCTATCTGAGGAGGGACAACTGCTTCCTCCCAGGATGCCATGGGGAGCAGAAGAGGAGCTCAGGTCAAGATAAATGAGCACCGTGCATATCGCATATCCTCTCTAGCAGACAGCCTGCACTAGTAGGCAGCCAGTAGGGCAACTCTGGATCCCACAGCTGAAGTGGCCTAAAACTGACTGAGCCATCAGCCAAGGGACTGGGATATGGGGACCCTGATATCCTTCTGGTTGGAATGTAAATTGGCAGTTTATATGAAAAAACTAAAGGATGTACATGCCTTTTGGCCCACTAATTCCATTTGTAGCATTTTTTTTTTCCTAATGAAAAAGTAAGAATTTCTGCAAAGTCTTCCCTTCCAGGATATTTGCCTAGGAAGATTTGAACTAACTTAAGTGGCCAAGAACAGGATTAAGTAATACATATATGCCCATCCAATAAATGTACTATGATATAAAACAACGACATGCAAAAAACATTTGTAGCAGGCTGGGACATGTTCAGAATGTACCATGTGAAAGTGCAGGTGATAAATGATATGATTTTCCTTCTGCTTCTCTGATTTGTTGGATTTTTGCTAATAAACATGAGTTGGGGGTGAGGCCAACCTTAGAGAGCTGATTGTGAGGCCACCCGAGCCGAGTCCCGGCGGCTTCGGCTTCCGTAAAAAACAAAAAAACAAAAAAACAAAAAACAAAAACCCCATGAGTTTTGTTGTTTGCAAATGGGGAGAAAAAATTACCTCCTGAATGTCATTTAAAAAAATCAAAACAAGGGGGAGGTGCAGATATGGGAAGGGATATAAATACTACCAAACCATATTGTATAAAAATATTCAATAAAAAACAAAAAAGCCAGGTGTGGTAGCACATGCCTTTAATCCCAGTACTTGGGAGGCAGAGGAAGGTGGATCTTTGTGAGTTCAAGGCTAGCCTGGTCTACACAGTGAGTGCCAGGTCAGTTGGGGCTACAGGGAGACTATTTCAAAAAGACAAAAAAAAAAAAAAAAAAAAAAAAAAAAAAAAAAAATTAAAAAAAAACAAGGGTCTTCAGGGAGGGATGAACCAAATTCTTCCTGAAGAGTCACAGAGGAAGATATCACACAGAACTGCAGATCAGAGGCCACCACAGGGTGGCAAATTCATCCCAGGAGCCTCAAGGCTCAGAGCACGGAGAGCCCCTCTAGGCCTCATCCTTAGGCAGAGCAAAGGAGACAGAATAGAATTCTATTTCTGCCACCTTCCCAGAGCGTCTCCTGGAATAAAAAAATCCTGACAGAGCTGACCTCCACTTCTCGGTGGAGGAGGACGGACCTTGGAGGGAGCTGGGGACAGGTTTCCTGAGGCAGGGAAGCAAGGGCAGACCAGGCATTCCTGCCTGGAGTTGGGAGCAGTGCCTAGCATTTGCAGAAGGGCTAGAGAATCCCTCTCCCTGTGAAGTTGGGAAGGCCTCAACCAAAGGAGTAGCTCCATCAGAGCTATGTTCTAGAGGGATTCCTCTGGTAGCCATGTGGACAACCTAAGGGGAAGAGGTCCTCGGCCAGTCACCTCATGGGGTATGTGCACATGGCTTTTTGGGCAGACTTGCTAATCTAGGTGTGAGGCAAAAGAAATGGACAGGATGCAGACTTTCATTTATGGAGAGGTTAAGCGCTGCTGTTAAAATACATCACCTTGGGGCTGGAGAGATGGCTCAGCGGTTAAGTAAGAGCACTGACTGCTCTTGCAGAGGACCCGGGTTCGATTCCCAGCACCCACATGGCAGCTATGAACTGTCCTTAACTCCAGTTCCAGGGGAATCCAAAGCCCTCTTCTGACCTCCGTGGCATTGCAAAACACAGGTGCACTCACATACATGCAGACAATAGATGTCCCCTAGTTTATGGATGAGGGAAACTCAGAGAAGGCTAGTAACTTGCCCAGGGCCACACAGTTAACATCCGATACAACCAAACTGAGTCTTCTGGGTGGCCTTGGAAGCCCAAATATCACATTTCTACCAGGGGGGCTTAAAATATAAGGCCAAGGCCAAGGCCAAAGCCTTCCTATCTCTGGCAAGAGAACTACCTGTTTTCACTTTGAGATTTATGCTATGCCTGTCTTTTCCCGGCCTACTTCCACCACAGCAAATGCAAATTAAAATATGAATATTGATATCAAACTAGTAAGCCAAAATTGAAGTCTCTGTGATTGAGGCTACAGCGTATTTTAATGTGTCTGAAGACAGGGAGCTGACAGTTGTGTGATAAGGTGTGAAAATGTCCGCTCTGTAAAGCCTACCTGCTCTCCCTGCCCTGCACGTGCTTCGAAGTGTTTGGTTAGAAACTCAAGCCAACTGTGAATTTGCTCCTTTCAATCAGAGAGACGCTAAGCAAGCTCATTTTGTCATTTAACGATTGGGGCCGGAGACATGGCTCAGCAGTTAAGAACACTGGTTGTTCTTGCAGAAGACAGGGGTTTGAATCCCAGCACCCACATGACCGCTAACAACTATCTGTAACTCCAGTCCCAGGGGATCCGACAGCCTCTTCTGACCTCCGTGGGCATTGCACGATACCGGTGCACTTACCTACATGCAGGCAATACACCCATACACATAAAATAAAAATAATAAATAAAATTTAAAAAAGATCAAAGATTTAGAACATTACAAATGGCTATGAAATGGGCCCATTTGGTTAAAGCATTCTGGTACTGAAGAAAAAAAAATCAGCATTCCTTAAGGGCACAAAATAGCACCCTTATGTGCATATCCTAGAGTTCTCTGCAGGTGAGGCGGAAGCAAGCACAGCCACCTGTTTTAAAATGGTGTCCTCACATCAGCCTGGCACTGGGCAGCAGAATGCGATTTGTTGACATTCTTCTGTAGGTCAGGTCTGGTGAGGACACATTCTGGGGGAAGCGCCACTGCCTCCCCGAGGAACATGGCTAGAATCCATGTCATTTCTCCTTCCTAATTCTGAGCGAGTTGGACTTCAAAGGAGGCCAGACTATAACAGAACTTGACCACTTTGCTCCATTTATCCAGAGAAATATGTTCCCTTTCTTTTTTTGTTCCTAGGCTGAGGCAGAGCAGGTGTGGAATAAAGCCACACTATAGGATCTATGAACAATTACTTGCCAATGGTCACATAGATATCCTGAAAGCTCTTCTTTCAGAGGCTTTGAAAATCTGCAGCACAATGAACAAGGGTTGGAGAAGGGGTCCTGCTCAGTCATATTAGAGATGGACCATCCACACACATATCATGCTGACCTCTCCATAGGTCAGCCCTACATTTTCTATTTGCAATTCAAACCCAAGGCAGGAGCAAAGGGGGCAAGATTGGGTTCTTGATTATATGTGGGAGGTCACCATTGCTATGCAGAGTTAGAGGAGGCCAGGTGGCAGCATAGCACATTTGAAAATTAGGTCTTTGTTGGGAACTGCCTCAATTTCCTAGCAGAAACCAAACTTGCCATGGCTGTGTTAGGTGCATCTGGGGGGCTGCATGGACAGGTTCCATGTAATGGAGAGAGGGCAGATGGAAAGGGGTAGAAAAAAACCCAAGGAAATATTTTCTACTACAGTGAGAGGTCATATGAAGCCAAATCCTAAATTAGCTCAAGAAAGGGAGCTGGAGTGTGTAGGAGATCCCTGGCCTGCACACATTGAACAATGCTTAGGTTTCAATTACAAAACAGCTCTCTCCAACAACTGCAAAATATCAAGTCTGTGGAAATCTGTAAGACTGAAGGGGGAAAAGTGAAAATTGAAAAGGGTACACTAATAGATCTGTCAACAGTCCAACAGTGACAAGCCACATTTCTATAAAATGCCTTCACCGTTGTGTCACCTGAAATGTACTGACACTCTATAGAACATTATCTCCTGAAGCTATTCTTGAAAAGACTGGGGAGTGATGGGGAAGAGAGAAGCGGAAGGAAAAAAAGTCAGCTTTAGATTTTATCAAGGAAGGGAGATGGTATGGAAGGAACTCAGTCTAGACTATGAAATGAGCCTTTGGGTAAACACATTAAGAAAGCTGGACTTCTTTGATGGCTGTTGCAGAAAAGATGTATGTCATGGGAACAGATTCTCTGAGGGGCAGAAGCATCCGCCTTTAAGTAGGAAGGTAAAGTGATGTTTCTGGCTTCCTGGTCAGAAGAGGCAATGAGACCCATGAGGCCAACTGTCTGGTGCCTGAGGAGGGATGGGGCCTTTGCTTATTTTAGGTGCTGTACTAACCAACCACAGCTTGCGATCTAGACACCAGACACAGAGAAAGGACAAGCCCCCTCCTGGCCACTCTGTTTCTGCAATCCAACTCGGCTACATCTAACTGGAACAGGAGATGAAAAGGTATACTTAGTGACTCAAATAACATCCAAGCAAAAAAATCCACCTGCCAGCGTCTGGTAGGGTGTAAGAGACTGCAGTCAAGGGCTGTGTGGGTTTACGTAACAGGGTTTGTATCGCACGATGAGAATCTTGGCTGTTACAAATTCACTGCCAGCGGAAGCTAGGAATTTAAATGCTTACCCAGAGCAAATTATTTTCCAATTAAAAGAAAGGAATCAATTCCTTCGACCATTTCAAGTTAATGAAGTCTTTTCTGACTCTGTGAAATTGAAACTGCTTTCAAAAAAATGTTTTTTTCAAACAAAACTGCTGAGATAGACAAAGGGTACATTTCAGGGTATGGGGGCAGTGAAGTGAATGATCCCAGACATCTTTTGGAAAAGAAAATACTTGTTTTGGGAAGGCAGTGGAAGTATGTAGTGGCAAGTGCTCTGACACCAGAGGTTAACAGAGCTGGAATCTAATCCTGCTTTTGCTCCGCTCATGCAGTATGGCCTCAGGCAAATTACTTCACCTGTGAATCAGTCGTTTCTCTCATGAAGTAAGACTCATCCCATAGGGCTGTTCCAAGGATTAAGGGTGAACACTCCTAGCCTGGATTATCCTTAACAAATACTTAGCAGAGAGTGGCAATCAGAGTATCGGAGGTCATGTTGCAGTACTGTCAAGAAGCCCTCTACTGTGGTTACCTTGCTGTATGCTCTAGGGACTCAGGTTGGGGCAGTGTCAGCCAGGGTAATGTCACCCAATTTTTTTCTGAAGGACTATGAAGGCAATCAGAGCCTGTTTCCCTTAAACACAGGCTGGGCTACTCTTATTTAAAACACCATGGTGGGGAGCTACTGTATCCTCTTCCTGCTCAACCTTTGTATGTTTCTGCATGGGGACCATGTGTGTGCTGGAACCAGGGTAGTTCTTTCTTGGATTAGGTTATGACCAGTCCTGGGGCAGAGGGTAGCTGCAGGAATGGAGTGACCCTGGGATTGGTGTGTGTGTGTGTGTGTGTGTGTGTGTGTGTGTAAGTGAGCTAATTTCTCCTGACATTTGCAAATCCTATGTCTGGTGGGGTGGGGAGGGGACAGTGGTAACTCTGAACTTGCTCGCCTTTGTGGGTTTAAGCCAGAGTCTTAATGTTATTTGAAGACAGTTTTTTTGTCTGTGAATATTTATAACAGTGTGAAAACTCCCGGACAGCTGGTAATGCATTTTGAAGTGTGCTAACAACACCGTATCAAACAGCCTTCTATTGATCACATCCTACTTTTTTGTGGCCACGCATTTCATACACGGTGCTTATACATTTTGAATAAGAACTTCAAGTACCTTTTGCTTCAAGCGGTTTTTCACCTCTTTTATTCCCATTTTTGCATGATCTTTTGCCTGCATGAAAAATTAATTTAAGTTAAGATTCCCTTTCTGTTTCCAGCAGGGTCTATGCTTGATTTCAGTCCATTGCGAATCACCTTCTCTGATTACTAGAAAAAGGAAGGAAAAATGGGATCATCAAGTTGACAATATAATGGCTATGAAAACAAATACAACGGGAAAAGGTTGAAAAAAAAAAAATCCCTTAAAGGGACTGTGGAGATTTCATTTTCTGAATTTTGATGGCATAGATTTTTTTTCCCCTTTCCCTCCCAAGCCCTTCTTCTGCTCTTTGCAATTATTTATCTCGGCAGGCTGGTGACAGCTACCCATAAGAGACAGCAGCTCTACTGGCCACCAGATTCAGAATAGCCATTATATTTCATCAGGACAGGGCCCCAGAACCATTTCTTGGCCAGGTTGTAGGGTTGAAATGAGATGGTGATTGCCAGGTTTCCATTGTACCATTTCCCAAATTTCACTTTGGCTGATACCATGGCTTTTATTTTCTGTCAGTTTTGACCTGTGTATCTCTATTGGCAGCTTTCTTCCTTATTACAGTAACTATAGTTTAACAACAGAAAGGACTAGCACAATTAAAAATGAAAATAAACCAAAACCACCCCACTTCAGTGGCTCAGGATCAAATGAACAAGCAAGAGAAATCACAAGAACAAATACTTGAGGCAAGAGATGGAGCCCTGGAAACGGATGGCATCTCCTATTTTCACTTTTGTGGGCATGAGTCTCACAAATAACGCACTTCCTATGAGGCAGTGATGAGAGATAGGATGAAGAATCAGGACAGAAATTCAGGCTGTTCACACCATATATACAGACCTGGTTTTCAAATATCAATACCAAATAATTCTCAGAACATTGAGACTCAAGAAATGGCACAGCGACCCTTGAGCCCTTGAGTCGCCTCCACTATCGAGGTGCAGATAACATTTAAAGGTCAGGGTTGAGCTAAGGAGCTGATCTGTTCAGATCCTGAGACCAGACCAGTACTTACGAACTTGTAGACAGTCTTCATGGCTGGGTTAGCTTTTGTTTTTACAGTATTCAGAATTGCTCCACTTCCTTTCTGCAATAAAAATGTCAATCAGCAATGTGGGCTGAAGAGAGCAGGCCAGCACCAACAAAGAGTGCTTCTCTCAATCAAGTCAAGCAACATTTCTAGAGTGTGTGATGTGAGGAGAGAAACAGGCCCAGGTGGTTACCATTTGGGGTCAGTTAGGGCTATGGTAGACTCACTCTGGGTGGGTGGGTGTATGCTAGAGATTGGGGAGAGGCATGTGATAACTAGTTGAGGGGAGACTCTAGGCTCAGTGTTTTGCTTAGTACCTGCCCCGGTCCAAGGCTATCTGAGGCAAGGCTTTGTTCATCTGTGGCTTCTTAAATAATTTCTGGTTACCATAGACAGTGTTCTAGTTATGTTTCACAATAACTGGAATGTCTAGCTGATCCCAAGCTAGGGAAGAAACAGGGTTCTTCTGCTCAACCAGGCTCCTATGGCAATATGCTACCCTTGCTTGGGCAGCTTCTTTTCCTCACTTGTTTTTCATGTGGTTGTTTAAAGTCTTTGAAGGCTGCCTCCCTTAACATCCCAATCTTAAGAGAGGGGAAAGCCATAAATGTTAGTCATGGCTGCAGTAGATATCTTGCACCCCAGGGTTTACTCCTTTCCTCAGGAAGCCTGGGAGGAAGGTGTGGAGGAAGGCTTTCCCTTGCTTAGGAGGCAGCCAAGTGAGCTAAGGTGCACAAGCCATGTTTCCAGTCTCACCCGTGTTGTGAGGCTGTAAGGAGCCCAAGCCAAGGGAGGGCTCTGCCTCTGACAACCTCCAGCCTATATACACATGAGTAGGGGATGTCAGGGCAAACATCCACACAAGAGATGGTGAAAGTTGTAATGGTCCCACATAGGGAATGTGCAAACAAGGAGGACCCAAGACACATTTGACCTGGGCCATGGAGAATGAGTAGGGGCTGATGCAGAACATAGCAAGATAAGAATATTGTTGGGGTACGAAAGAACACATAAAAAGTGCAGAAGTCAGGCTGGGGAGACTGCTTAGTAGTCAAGAGTGTTGGCTGTTCTTGCAGAGAACCTGTGTTTGGTTCCCAGCACCCACATGGCAGCTAACAACGTCTGTAACTCCAGTTCTAGAGGATCTGATGCCCTCTTCTGACTTCTGTGGCTACTGTATGCACATGGTATACCTAAGTACATGCAAGCAAAACAGTCAGATACATAAAATAAAAATAAATACATGAATTTTCAAAAAGTACAGAAGTCAGGAGCTATGGGTGTGCTCTTGGAAGAACAAGTGGCTCTTGTCCCACAGTGGAAGTGAGGCTAGGAGGCCAGATGGGGTGGCCTGGGCAGGCCTTGAATGTCAGGCCCAGGGGCTTGTGCTCCAGAGAATTTTTAATCTAATACATCACATAATCAGATTTGTGGTGGTTTGGAAAGTTCACCTAACCCATTCAAATGGAGAGAGGCTGGAACCTACGGGTATATAACTGAACAGGAGACAGTAATTATTGGCTTTAACTCTAGCACAATTTTTGGTAACTGTTTGCCTTAAATTTTTTGAGTTTTAATTAAAAACATTACAATTTGACCTAGAAAGCATTCTCTGTTGTAGGACAATAGGAAAATTTCACCCACTCATTTATTCCATACTGCCTTCCAAAATTACTCAGTATCCCGTTTAAAGGGTCCTTTACAGTACTGAAACTCCCTTTATCAATCAATCAACAGGTCCTTATTGCTCGCCTCTGATTTGCCAAGTGCTGTGTTTGGCCATCCAAGAAGAACAAAGGGAGTCTTTCATGGGGGAGCTGCTTGCCCTCGGCCAACTGCAGCCACTTCCAAGGGACCTGCCTTGGCAGCAGCACACTTGGCTCCAGAGCAGGAGAGAACACTTATCACATTATGTTGGAGTTGCCTGTTTATGTGCCTGCCTCCCTAACAAGATGGGGAGCTCCCCCAGGGCAAAACCTGCTCTCCTCTGGATTCCCAGTGTCCAGATACCCCTGGCACACAGTGGGTCTTCAGTATATACTTGGAAAGTCATGGAAAAGCCAGGCAAAAATTTGAATTAATTAGAGGCTACAGGTAGCCCTGAATACCCGGCTTCTAATTCAGCAAGAAATTGTTCACAGTAGCAGTGAGATGAGATGAAAAAAAACAAATCTCTCAGGGATGTGTTCTCTATCTTCCCAGGAGCCTTTGCTGTGAATGACACTGCAGAGTAGCAAGGGGAGCACACTTCTGATTTTCCTATGACTGTGACAGTTGCACTGGCCCTGGAAGTGAATGTTCTAGAATGATAACACTCCTTGCCGTGCTGGCCTGAGGAGGAGGCCTCTTCTGCTTCCTTCTCCCCCATCAAGGGGGGCCTTGGACAGCCTTCTCCTAGTCTCTCCCAGGAGGAGAATGAACTGACATTAAGGCAAAACCATCTTCAGCTGGAGGAATGTTGTGCCCTATGCCTTGTCACAGACTTGTAGATAGTCAGGGAGCAGAGGGCTGCCAGGAGGCCACAGAGGAGGCCAGACAGCTCTGAATGGGGAACACTTACCCGGACAGTGGACAGCCACTGATGGTACAGTTTATCACTGCCTGAGGGAGAGAGAAGTTAGAGAGGCTGTGATGTAAAGACTTCTTTAAATTGCCTTCAACTTGCAGATTGGAAAGCTTACAATCTGGCCATGTGTCACTCTCTGAAGGAGGCAGCAGTGAGTCAGGCCACAGATTTTCATTCTCGAGGAGCTTTCTGTATTAGCGTCCAGAATGCAAACCCCTCCCCATCTCCATTCTGTTCTGCATGACACTCTGACCACGAGGAACTACTAGGGCTCTCCAGCAGGCAATCTGTCCACCTTCTATTCTATGCATGGAAAATGTGGTTCTCTTGTCCTGCCACCATTCCCTGGTGTCTGCCAAAGCAAACTCAACAGCCAGCTGAAATGTCATATCCTCTGGAAGCTTCTCTTTCTCTCTTTTTTTGAGGTGAGTATAATGCAGTTCATCCCGGCCTCCAACTCTGTGTATCCAAAGTTGGCCTTAACCTTCTGATTCTCTTGGCACCACAACAACAGGTTTATGTGGCACTGGGGCTTGAACTCAGGACTTCGTGAATGCTAGGCAAGCTCTCTACCAACTGAGCTACACCTCCAGCCTCCTTCTTTCCTCTAAACAGACCACTAGCACAAGTCACAGCCATAGTCTTTGATGTACCGTGAGCTGCCAGAACTGAGTATCTCAGTGTAAGGACCCTGCTGGACACACACTTGCCTGATGACAGGGCAAGAGGGAGGTACAATCGGTGAGCTCTGTTCATTGCATCCTGAGGTTCAAGGAGGTCTCAGCACAAGATGGCTCTTTTAGAAATTCTGAACCACAGCAATATTTACAGTCTCTCTTCTCCCAAACTCGGCTCCTGTGGCCAGAGATGGACTCTAAGTCTGCTCCTTCATGAAGCTCTCAAAGGGTACAGTGAGAGTAAACAGAGCCATATTCTAACTGCACATGACCCAGTTTTTATTCTTCCTGCAGTGGCTTAATTTTTATTTGTCTTAGTCATATATCTTTTTCCTATCAGACTAACAACTCCCTGAGGACAAAAGTTGGTTCTCCATTGTTTATGCAGTCCTGGGTACATCAGTGTTCAGGAAATGCTTGTCAATAATCTGCCATAACTGTCCAGAGACCCCCATACTGGCTTTAACAATTGACTATGTTCTCCATACAGTGTGGGTGGGTAGGGCCTTAATACCCACAGGTAGATAGCTGCTGCCTCTGTGAGCTTGTGTACTGCAGCTCAGATTATCAGCACAATCTAGACTGGATAAACCCAGCAGCAAGAGGGTTGCCAGCATGGATTATTATTTTGCCTCCAAAAACTGAACCTTTGAGTATTATTACCTCTGCCATCAAAGATTGAACCTATGGCATCTGGCAAGAAGCCAACCAGATAGAGTTCAGGAGGTGGGGGTCCATCAGCAACACCTCCCTGTGCCCAGATGCTGCCTCTAAAAAAATGAGGGGATGACCCTCTTACTGAGTCTGGGTACCCAGTAGTGATGCTTACATTTTATTCATTCTTTTATTTTTTGAGAAAGAGTCTCACTATGTTGCCCAGGCTGGCTTCCAAGTCCTGGGCTCATGAGTGCCCTGCCTCAGCCTGCTGAGGGATGGAATGACAGGAGCATGTTATTGTGCTTGGCTTGATGTTTATATTGTATAGAAACAAACTGAGCACTGACCCTGTGGCAGGGACTGTCCTAAGTCCCTACGCAAAGCTTCCTAATGACTCTCACTTTCTGCTACACGAGTCCTGTGAGGCAGCCAGTGGCAATATCAGTGCATAAGCAGGAAAGCATCAGCTGAAAAAAGGAAAATGACATGGCCTGGGTCTCAGCTGGCAAGGGGGCAGAATCTCCATTTGAGTTCAGGTCTCCTACTCTGGTATCTGGTATAAGTCCCCTGCATCATACTGGTTATGGCATTTGTTTAAGTAGAATTGCCTACCCAGGGGAATCAACTGCTCCAGGACCAGGGTTTCAAGTGGGCCAACCTATGAGTATCATGTCACAAATTAAGGAAATTATCCAACCCTCTCAAGGCCAAGATCAAAGAAACCCCTCTGTTCCAGGGGGGGTGATGTCCTACCTGCATACTCGCCCATGTTAATCTCTTCCTCAAAGACGTCACTGAAGCCTTCACCAGAATTGAGACGGTCTAGTCGGCCATCAATGAACTGGAGAGAAAGAACAAACACACCACAGTTTGTTTACAGACATGGGACCCATCTAGCTGGGCACTACAGCATATATCCACAGACCAGCCAAGCTTTCCAAGATGGGAAATCATGAGTTTCCTGAAAGTACTAGTTATGCATTTATAACTCAGGAAACTGCAAGCCAAGGTCTGTCTGGTAGCTCATAACCTTTCGACCCAAACCCTCTCCCCTGGTCCTCTCCAGTCTCATCCTCTCCCTGCCTTCAGCCTCAGTGCCCAAGATGGGGGCAATTGAAGAAGTCCCTACTAGGGACCAGGTATGGGCCCTGAGGGAGGCTAGGCACCTGTTTGAAGAGCTGCAGCTGTGTGGCATTCTGCAGGAACTGCCTCATGGCTCCAGAGCGGTAGTGGGACACAAAGGCTTCCTCACTGAAGGTGATGGGCTCTTCCTGGGAAATGGAGGACAAGAGAGTAAGAGGATGGAGGGCTCTCAGGCAGTCCAACATGCCTTTCTGCAAACTTCTACAACTGCCTGCTTGTTGACCCCTCACAAGGGAAGTCATGCTTATCATCCAAGTCCATCTAGTCCATGGCTGAGTCATACATACCCCAAAGTCAGTGAGGGTAGAAGGCAAGGCCGAGATCCAAGGTCAGATGTCCACCTCCAATTTACCCCCTTCTCTGTTACTAACAGTTAGAGCTGTGCCTGCCAGGGCGATGCTTTGCAAACTTTTCTGTCCATTTTAGGAGAGGAACCCTGAAGTCATTCAGAATCTCATAAGGCAGGGCAAACCTGAACTGCTCTGCTGGGAGGTAAGGCAGGGCCTGGCACTGGGCTCAGTCAGCTGTGAAACACTGTGAAACTCATTTACAAAATGACTTTTGTGGGGCTGGAGAGATGGCTCAGGGGTTAAGAGCACTGGCTGTTCTTGCAGAGGACCCGGGTTCTAATCCTAGCAGCCACATGGTGGCTAACTCCATGTACTCCAGTTCCAGGGGATCCAATGCCTTCTTCTGACCTGAGGACATTGGATAACATGGGTGCACTTACATACATGCAGACAATATACTCACACACATAAAATAAAAACAAATAAGTAAAAACCCAACCCCAAATGACTTTTGTTTTGTTGAGACAGGGTCTTGCTATGTTTTCTAGGCTGGACTTGAACTTGTGATTCACTTGCCTCAACCTTCTAAATGTTGGGTATCACCAGGCCTGATTCATACTATCTTGATCTATAACAAATTATAATTTAAAAAGTATTGGCTGATCAAAAATAAAATTTACAACCTGGTCAAATTTGTGCTTAAGCTGTTTGATAAGAAAGTTTGCTTCCACAAACTATATTTTATGTGCCACAAAAATGATGCCCTACACTTTAAGAACAACAACCTACCCTTATACAGTCACATTTTGATCATTCTTTGAATACATTGGAGTCCTTATCTATGCAGACATGTCTTTAATTTTGGTGTGTATTCTCAATTCTGAAAGATCTAATTTTTACATCTTGATCTGCATTAAGGCCACCCCCCTTCACAGACTTGGTGGCAAACATAAAGATGTTTGAAGTGCTTTTATCCTGTTTTAATGAGTTATGTGTTAAATTTACTGTCTAGCTCCTGTAAGTTCTGAGAATTCCTGATTCAGTTTAGCCAACATTAGCTCAGCAACTGGGTAGCCTTACTGCATAGGCTGCAAGGATGACCCAATAATATGAGGATGGGGGAAACTTTATTTTTATACAGATAAACCATATCTAATTTTACAAAGGATCTGAGACACTTTACACAAACACTAAGACAACAAATTAAAAAAAAAAAAAGACTGCTGGGAAATACATGAATATATAGAATGCATTTAGGAATAGAATTTAGGGATATGTTGGTCTTATATAGTTTCTAAACTTAAGTTACAAAACTGCCATTGAGCTTCCTGATTGCTGAAACAAGAAGGAAAACAAACTTTGTGTTGCATATGAGAGAAAATTAAGCATGCTAGTTCCTGGGAAGAAGACAGGGCTGTTTACAACACTTACTACTCTGGCATGAATTGCCACGTTCTTTGCCAAACCAACACAAGTTTAGATAGAATTCCATTCCTATGGCTTGTAAGTTTTGCTTCACACCCTTGGGACCATGGCAGATCTGTCTAGGTGATCTCATCCACTGATGACTTTCAACATACTTCATCAACTCAGACCCTTTCTAGACCTCTAAACTCCTGTCTATATCCATACCAGGTACCTAAAACTCATGGCCCAGACTCTAAATTATGGTCCCATCAGTCTCACTCCTCTAATCTGTGTCTTCATTTCTTAGTTGTCAGAGTCCTAGCCACTCACAGTTGACCTGTTAGAGTTCCCATGCCCTTCCCACCCACTGGGAGGTGTCTCATACCTCCCTCCCACTGTTTAGCATGACCCTGGAATAATCCCAGACTGCTGTGATAGGGGTTCACCTTCATGCCCCTGTCCTCTGTCATTTACTCAAATCCACCTCGGTCTTGGCCAGAGTAAGTTCAATCATGCTGCCATCCTACTCAAGAATCCAGGCTGCACAGGCATAGCCTTTGTGTGATGACTACATTTATCTGTGCTTTCAATGATGCTTCTGATGGGTAGGCATGACACCTGTTTTGCACAACATTGCATACTTCACAGTGTGCATGTCATGCACAAGGGTCCTGCATGGGAGAGGACAGGGAGTCTTTTTGGCCAAGCAAGCAGCCCTTTCCAGAGTCCCTCTGTGGTCCTTCGTGTCTGCTTCTCCACATTTGTTGCTCCAAACTCATCCTCTGATCACATGCCACATCATCCCCACATTCCTCCTTGCCTTTTCTAGTTCTTTTCCTTCTGCCTGGATTCAGGCCTGGGTGTGGCAGTCACCCCTGCTTGGTGCTCTCAGATATCATGCACCTCTAGAGTGGGAATGGTCTTTCCCAGTGTCTTCTCTGACTAGGAGCTTGGGAGGGCAAGGCCTTGCTGATCTCATCCCTACACCCCGGGGGACAGCGTGGAGCCTGGGCTCCAGTTGGAAGTTCAGGGATGTAGGTTAAACAACCATGGAATGAGCTCGGCCTTGGTTCCTGCTGCAGGACCCTGTGGTCTTTGGGTGACAGAGACACTGCTTGGCCTGATAGTAAAGAGGTTTTAGCACAGGATACCAGGTGGGTGGATGATGCTTGTGTTCAGGGTGGAGGGATGTTAGAGCTGTTCAGAGTTGTTCATTTTTGCCAGGAGAATGTCTGAGGAGAGAGTGATAAATTCAAGAGTTTGCAAGTGAATTTGTGTGTGAAGGTAGCCCAAGGCGGGGTTTAGCTGGAGAGTAGCAAGGCAGAGAGACAGGAACACTTTGAGCCCCTTGACCACTTACTGGAGATGACATACCCCTGCATCAGAAGGCTGTGCTATAAAAATAGACAGCAGGACATAGGCACAGATGGGAAACCCAAAGGGGAATGTGACAGTGGGGGTGCCATCTAAAAAGACCTTAGAACAACATGGAAAGAAATAGTGTCATGCAGTACAGTGTCATGGGGTGACCCCCTACACAATAAATAACAAATAAAATTTAAAACATTTACTGAGAGGCAGGCACTTTCTGGCTGGCTCTGGAAGGGTAAACCAGTTAGGCAAGCAAATTCTCTCCCTGCTAAAAGCACAGTTGGTAGAGAAGTCTAGATGGCAGCAGATACAGAGGGGCTCATTCCCTGGAGTGACTCCCCTCCCAAGACAATGACAATGACCACATTGCACCTCACGTGACCACAGGCTCTAGGGGAGGCACTGTGCCATGCCCTTCACAAGTGGTCACCAACCTCTAGATGTGGCTCAACTGGACAGCTGGAGGGCTCTCTTCAAAGGCAAAACCTTCAGGTTTTTCTGGACACACAGCACCAGCCCTTCAGACACAAACCACTTAGGGGTTAAGCAGGCTCTGTGAAGGCTCCTGCCACAGGACTGTGGTAAGCACACTGAGTCCTTTACCTCTGCCTTGCCCACCTGAGTCCTACAGATGGCAAGGTTAACCCCACTCTACTCTTTAGCAGAGTACAGAACAGTACCTTATTAATTCTATCCTTTATAAGAATGCCTGGTTTAGTGCTCTTATTTGATTGGTTAAACCTTTCGTCTTCTTAGGTGACACTAGGTGCTGGGGCAACAGGCTGATGGCAATGTTAATTCTGGGGAGCCAGGTCGTGAGCACTCGAGCTTAGACAGCATTAGGAGAGTTTTCTATCTACGACCCCAAGGACAGTAAAACACAGCTGCTCAACCCCATCAAGGACTCTGTTACAAATTTTTCTCCTGGATTATCTTTTTGACATATGGAATCAATTGAAAACTCCATCACTAATGAGTTTAATCTTTGTTAGCAGGTGAAGCCAGTGACTCCAAAGGTTTCAGAGACTTCCAGAAATAAATGACTTTATCCACAGCATCATCAGTACTGGGTGTAAAAATATAACCCCCACTAGGTTCTTCAAACAGCTTTCCTTGTCCTACTGACCCCTCTGCTTTTTCACAAATTTAATTTTTATCAAAACTCTATATGTACTTTTACTATGAGATTATAAGACAAAAAGAGAAATCTCATCTTTGTAGACCTTGTTTAAAATGTAAAAAAATATTACTTTTGGAAGATTCATCTATATACGCAAACAGCTTAAAAATAGCTCCCATTGCCGGGTGTGGTGGCGCACGCCTTTAATCCCAGCACTTGGGAGGCAGAGGCAGGCGGATCTTTGTGAGTTCAAAGCCAGCCTGGTCTACATAGTGAGTTCCAGGACAGCTGGGGCTACAAGGAGACCCTGTCTCAAAAAAAAGACAAAAAAAAAAAAAAAATAGCTCCCATGAGCCAGGTTTTGTGTAAGAAGAACAGAAAAAAAAAAAAAATACAGTTCCTACAAACACTGGACAAAGGGTGGGGAGCAGACGAAAGAATCGACGACGTCAGGCCAGCAGAATGTTCTGTCCGTGGCAGCATTATTTGTGATGATATGTGTATGGTGTATGTGTTGTTTGTGCACACACATATGTATGTGGGGACCTGTGTGTGTGAAGGCTAGAGGTTGACATTGGGTGTTTCCCCCAATCACTTTCAACCTTATTACTTTTTAAAATTTTTATTTATTATTTTAATTTATGTGTATGCGTGTGTTGCATGCATGTAGGTAAGTGCACCCATGTTGTGCAATGCCTGCGGAGGTCAGAAGAGGCTGTCAGATCCCCTGGGACTGGAGTTACACACAATTGTCAGCTGCTATGTGGGTGCTGGGATTCGAAGGTGGGTCTTCTGCAAGAACAACCAGTGTTCTTAACTGCTGAGCCATCTCTCCAGCCTGTCAACCTTATTTTTAATAACTTAAAAATAATTTATTTTTATTCTTTTTTTATTTTATGTGAATGAGGATATTGCTTGCATGTTTGTGTACTGGAGTTAC